TCCAGATTACACAAGAGAACTGCAGCCCCTGCTTCCACCAGCGCTGAGTCTCGGACCCTCTCCGTGCACTGGCGGCAGGATGTAGACCATCCACTGGGGGAGGGGTGTGTGGCCCATTGGCTGTATGCCCCCACTGAACCCGGAAGACACCAGTGGATGTCTCTGCAATCGACAAACAGGTCATGGAATAGAGACATGTTCATCTGGGAACTTTACTGTGGTCTCACATCTGTGTTTGGGTCTTAGGTTCTGCCACATGGGCCACGAATGATTAGATTATGAGTTGGCATCAGCCCTCAATTAGGCCAAACAGATCTCTCTCAGAAATTTGGAATTGGGGTGGTGAGAACCATGGGGTTTGGCAAATGCAACGCGGTTGTAAGTGAAAGGAGGTCAAGGGGCCACTGGGGCTGGAAGGGACTCATGAGGCAAACAACGACAGGCACGACGGGTCCCTAAGAGCAAGCCGAAGGACAGACGAGGAGAGGGTTAAGTGGCCTGGAACTGCAGAGCCCAGAGGAAGTGCCTGCCGAGCACCCCACCTGAAATCCATCATGGTCCCTGTACCCATAGTTACCACCAGCAACTGGTTCCCATCAAAGTGGTTAAGAGCATGGGTGATGGTGGGGTCAAACCTGGGTCTTCCAGGCACCCTCTGAGTGACGAGTAAATGACTTCACTTTCTTGGATCCTAGTTTTCCCTCTGTGTAAAATGGGGATGATAATAATCCCTGTGTTGGGGGGAGTCACAGAGAATGAAGCTTATTTGGAAAACAGTAAGTCTAAAAGATGGAAGTACAAATCCGGATAACACTGCCAGAGCACCTGGACCCAGCCACACCTGAACATCCACCCCTGGATTTTCTAGTTATATGAGCCAATGAATTCATTTTGCTCAAGGCAATTTGAATTTGGTTTCCTGTCACTTGCAACTGGTAGACTCTTGATTAACACTAGTATCAAAACTAGTAAGTTACATGAGGGTGTTTTTGCTCCTCAAGTACTCAGCCAGAACAGAGGGACTAACTTTGAAATACTGAGACCAATACAAAGCCAGAGGCCAAACAGCAGAGATCTGAATAAAAGAAAACAGATAGTAAGACAGATGGGCAGCCAGGAATGGAAGGACACTGCAACAGGAAGACAAAAGCCCAGGGGAGACATGTCCCCCGTGCCCACTCTTACCCATACGCCCTTGTGTGGGGTCACGGTCACCAGGCCGCCCCGGAAGAAGATGTGAGCCTGGCTCACAGCTTCAGCTTTGCCATGGCAGGAGTGGACATCAGCGAGCACACGGTACCAGGGCACGATCTTCTCTAGTCCTGGGCAGCTGGAAGAGAGCTCGTAGATGCCAGGGATGCTGATGTTACTGCAGGCCCCATCAAAGGTGGTGAGATTGGTGCCCATAGAGAGGGAACAGAGACCAGGGGGGACCCAGCAGTCCCGGGCCCCAGCCTCGACCTCACAGATGCGGCCTACAGGGCAGCCAGTTGCCTGGCATGTCAGTCCAGTGCTTGAGGAACAGGAACAGCGCTCGCTGCAGTCTGAGCTCAGCAGGGAGGAGTTCACCTGTGCACAGAAAGGGGCCAGGTTTCAGTGGTGTGGTGGATTGCAACAACGGCCACAATCCTTCAGCCCTCTGGATCCATGCAGATGACTTTGCCATGACTCCCATTAACAACTGTAGTTTATTTCCCCTTCTCCACTAATCCGGGGTGGCCTTAAGACTATGCTTTGGTTATCACAGTGCAGCAGAAGCAATGCTATGCCAGGTTCAAGCCTAGACCTCAAGAGACTTACAGCTTCTCTCTGTCTCTCTGTCTGTCTGTCTGTCTCTCTCTCCTTGCCCAGCCACTATGAGAACAAGCAGGGGCCTGCCAAAGACCCCGTGCAAGAGAGACAACAATCTCAGCCTGATGCCAGCCCCCAGCTGACCCACTGGGGGACTAGAGATATATGAGTGAGCCCAGGGGACAACAGAAGAACCACTCAAGTGAGCCCAGCCCAAACTGCAGGGTCACAGAATTGTGAACTAAACAAATAGTTGTTTTAAGCCACTATGTTCTGGGGTAGTTTGTAACCCAGCAAAAGCTAACTGACACAGGTACGGGTGGGCAGGAGATATTCCACAATCCTGGTAACCCAGCGCCCTTAAAACCCAATCCAGGAAACAACTTTCTCCTGGTTTTTCCCTACCTGACCCGCTGTTATTTCTTCACCACATTTTTAAGTTCTTCCTGATTTCCCACATCCTAAGGATACCTTGCCCAGGGCTCAGTCCTCAGACCCTTTCTTCCCTGTCTACATTTACAACCTGGCGATCTCATCAAATCTCATGAAAACTAAAAGCAGTGTCTGATCCTCAATTAGACCCTGGCCCAGGGGGATGGGGGATTGTTATAGAGGACATTATTGGGACAACTGGTAAAATTCAAATAAAATCTATATAATAGGGTTGAATCAGTGTTGATTTCCTGATTTTGAATTGTACTATGGTCATATTACATGAATTCCCTTATTCTTAGGAAATCCATGCTGAAGTATTTATAAGTAAAGGGGAGCTGTGTCTCTATCATATTATCACGCGGTTCAGAAAAAAATCATATGAATATATATTTATACAGGGTGGATGATAAAACATAAAACACACGTGGCAAAAGGTTAACAGTTGCAGAACCTCAATGAAGGGTATGCAAGAGTTCTTTGTACCATCCTTGAAATTTTTCTTAAGTTTGAATTCTTCCAAAACAAAAGTTTGAAAACTAAAAGAAATGAATGTGATAAAACAAATAAATTCCATCTCTATACCGATAACTCCCACATTTGTATCTCCAGCCCAGACACTCAAATCCAAGAAACCTTCTAACACAGGCAAAGTGGTCAGGGCTGGGATGGAAAAGAACAGGGGGCTGTGAGAGTCCAGAGGTATTTAACCCAGCCTTGGGGGGTTAAGGAGGGCTTCCTGTAGGTGGTGAGACCAGAAGGAAGAAGCAGAAATTTGGCATCTTCTTCCCCAGAAGTCCTGTACCTCCAGATGCTCTAGCCTACCTTTTTGCCAATAATAAAACTAGGATGAATTTCCTTTATTTGATAAATATGCTTTTGAAGAAGTAGAATACCTGGTGGCTCAGAGGGTGAGCCCTGGCTACTGGGGTGTGCATCCCAGCATCACCACTTGCTAATGTAATGGGTAGCCTTGGGCTGACCTCTCTGTGTTGCAATTTCTTCATCCGTAAAATCGGGAAAATAATGATGGCACCTGTCTCATGGGATTGTTGTGATTATTAAATGATTAGCATCTGTAACAAACTGGGTGCCTAGTAAGAGCTCAAAAAACATGCATAACAAAAATAAGTCAGTTATTAACTTTCAACTCACATCATTAAACTATTGTTAGCTGCACTACTTACTGTGCTATTGTAAATTGCTTTTACTTTTACTAAATGTGCTGGCTGTGGAGGGCAAGGCGGGCTCAGTAGGTGTCTTTCATGAGCAACTGCCCCCAATCCTCAGACACCTATGGCTCAAGGATGATGATAAACCCCATTTTACAGATGAAAACATGAGGCTCAGGGAGGGGACTGTAGTAGGCTGAATAACAGCCTCCCAAAGACATAGGGTCCCAATGCCTGGGCCCAGTAACAATGATCTTATATGCACATGTGATTAAATTAAGGATTTTGAGATGGAGAGATTATCCTGGATTATCTGGCTGGTCCATAAATGCAATCATGTATCCTAAGAGGGAGGCAGTGGGAGATTTTATGTCACACACAGAAGAGGAGGGGGACTATGACACAGAAGCAGAAATCAGTGATGTGACCACAAGCCAAGGAATGCCTGCAGCCATCAAAAGCTGGGAGAGGCAAAAAGGGTCTCCCCTAGAGCCTCTGAAGGGAGTGCTGCCCTGAAGACACCTTGATTTTGACCCAGTGATATGATTTCTAATTTATGGCCTTTGGGAGGACAAATTTCTCTTGTTTTAAACCACCAAGTTTATGGTCATTTGTCACAGCAGCTACAGGAAACTAATACAGAAATATCACCAGCACTGAGTCACACAGCTGGGAAATACTGGTGGCTCCTCTGTCTCCATCCTTGAGGGGGTCGGCACAGAAGCTCTGAGTCTCCCTCAAGCCCCTCCACCTCCCCTGCCCACCTCAAGCCCCTGCTCACCGGCAAGTATCGGCCGTCATGAGTGCAGCCGCAGTGCTGGACAGGGATGCAGGTGCCCTGGGAGAGCAGGAAGTGGTCATCGCACTCACAGCCCTCAAAGCAGCGGGTGGTGCAGCCCATGAGGCCAGAGAGAGCCGCGCAGGAGCCCTGGCAGGAGTGAGTGCAGACGGAGTAGTGGCTGTGGGCAGGGCACTGGAGCGCTGTGGAGAGAGGAGGCAGGGTGGGGTCATGCCTGCACTCAGGCACTGAAGAGTGAATGAATGGGGCCTGCTGCACACCCAGCCCTGGGGGGACAAGGGGCGAACAAAGCCCAGGCCCCGCTCTACAAAGCTCATAACTATGGGACAGATAGTGCCAGCCCAGTGTAATCAGGGCTGCACTGGGGAAACACAGAGGGGCCAGGGCCAGGATGGGGCAAAAACGGGGAGCTGAGGACCCAGGGGAAGCATCCAGGATGGGGGCCTGGGCTCTGTCTGAGCAACTGGTAGATGGTGTGGCCGCATCAAGATGAGGACCAGGGTCAGAGAATGGGAGGATCAGGTTTGGGGTGAAATGCTGATATCATATGGGAACACAGCAGGTGTGAGGGACCCTATGGACATCCAGGCGAAAGTGTCCAGAGAGCCACTGGGCCCCTGAGGCTGGCAGTCAGGAGAGAGGTGAGGGCTGGAGACAGACAGTGTCCATGCTCAGCAATGAAGACAAATCTAAGGCCATGGAGGTAGATGATGGCCCAAGACATAGGTCCTGCCCTGATGAGAATGAAGGGGACACAGCCCTGTCCTGGGTGTTTGAAGGAAACAGAGAACACCTGACTGGGGGGATCTGGGAGGTACAGTCCCTGGTGTCCGAGGGGGCTGCAGTCTTGCCCTGGGTGGGTCTAAGGAAATATGTTCCTGTCCTGGGGTGGGGGGTGGGGGGTCTGGGTGAGCCACAGACTCAGGCTTTATTGTATGAGCTTCAGATCTGCCGACCCGCCCTCCTAGGTCACAGCAGAAAAGGTCCAGGATGAGCCCTGAGGAAGAATTGTATGTATCTGAGGTTTTGGAGAGTTGAGAAGGTCCAGTCAGCGGGGCAGAAGGAAGCCAGCAGGGTATGCTGTGGGAGAAGCCAAGGGGAACCCTAAAACGGGGATGGACTGCTCCTGAGATGCAGGTAGGACAGGGAGCGGTTCAGGGGGCATCCCCGAGCCTGGTCTGGAGTCCTCTGGGGGGCCCATGGACACTCACGGCAGAAGCTTTCTGTCCTCCAGGGCTTCACGGTCTGGCCGGCTGCCTGGCAGGCCGCTGTGTAGGCAGCCAGGCTACGGCAGAGGACGGTGCTGTTGCCTTTCTGGGCACACATGTCGTAGACGCATTGGCGGAAGTACTCAGAGGGGCTCAGCACTGCGTGGCAGGCTGCGAAGGGGCCATGGAGGTCCCGGAGCTGCCCGCAGGCCTGGATGCTCTCATATGGTGCTGTCTCCTCTGATGAGCACACGGGGCAGCCCTGGGGCCCGCAGCCCTCGCCACAGCCCTGGGAGGAGCCAGGTGCCCGCCATGCAGCTCCAAAGGCATCCACACTGGGGGCCACAGTGCCACTGGGCAGGACAAAGTCATCGCTCCAATTGCCATTGAAGTTCCCACAGAGGCCACAGAGCCGGCCCCAGAAGGAGCCAGGGATGCCTATGAGGATGTAGGCGTCACCATCAAAGAGAAGCCGCAGCTTCTTGGTGGTCTGCAGGACCATGTTCCGGCCCTCAGCGGTCACCTGCACATGGCCCATGGCCACAGGCAGGGCCACAACCTCGCCATCCACGGTGACCTGGGTGGAAGGGTGGAAGGGTAAGGCACTCGGCGAACCACAGATAAGGCAGTCAGTCCCCTTAGACTCCCAGGATGGAGTCGTGTCCCTCTCGGTCCCTTTGGGGTGGGGCCATGTCCCCCACAGACTTTCCAGGACAGGGCAGTGTCCCTCTCACAGCCCCCAGGGCAGGGCCATGTCCCCTTCAAACCCCCAGGGCAAGGCAATGCCCACTTACCTGTGGGCCCCGAGCCAGGCTCACAGTCTGGCCAGCCACACTGACTAGCAGGCGTTGAGGCTCTCCAGCCACATTTTTCTCAAGTACAATGGTAAAGTCTTCATCCCTGGGATCTGGGTGGCAGACTCGGGCCAAGACATAGGAGCAGGAGCCATGCATATCATAGACACGTCCATCGAGGGTAACGTAGTGGATGCCCCCACTGGCCAGGCAGCGGCCACAGCCTGTCGAATAACAGCCCTGGACACCGTCCTCTATCCGACACTCTTCATGGGGCCTGCAGGCTTTGCCCTCCTGGCAGCTGACTTGGCCTCCTGGCCCACACTCACAGTGCCGCTCGCACTCGGGGCCTGGGTAGAAGGCCTCGCCCAATGGGTAGTAGTGGCCCTCATAGAGGCAGCCACACTGGCCCACAGGCACGCAGGAGTCGCCACTGAGCACGAAGCCGGCATCACAGACACAGCCCTCACGGCAGGCTGGTTCACAGCCCTCAGGCGCAGAGAGGCTCGGGCAGCTCACAGGGCAGGAGTCACCGCAGAGCTTGTAGTGGCTGTGGGCAGGGCACTGGAGAGCTGTGGGGACGAGAGAGGAGTGAACCGGGGGGAGACATGGAGTGAGGGAACTTGCCCAGAGGGATCTGTAGGTTGTGCCTGAGCATATTCACATGTGCATCTGTGCAGGGACCTGAGCAGGGTGTCGGATGCAGCACATCTAACTGGGGGATCCAGTGTGGGGACCAGGTCTCTCTGACCAGGTTGTGTGTCAACCTAATCAATTTGACCACGTAGATCTGACCAAGATGTGCAAACTAACTGTGGGTATCTCAGGGTGTGAATCTGACTGGGATGTGGGGCTGGACGTATCTCAGGGTATGAATCTACCTGCATGTTACCTGGCTGTGGATTTCTGACCTGGAACCCCTGACGGGTGTGTGGCAGTGTGTCTCTGACCAGGTGTATCTGACAGGAGAGAAGAAGTGCCAGGACTATCCGACAGAGAATCTGAAGGTATCTGCCTGATCTATGTCAGGGTCATGATTCCTTCCACCTTGGTGTACCCACCGTGTTTTCGTGAAAATTTGCCCAATTATCTCTGATCAGAAGAGTTCCTGTCTGAGGTTATCGGACCAATTCCTGTGTATTTCAGTGTCTGAAACAGTCCAGGGGCATCTGACCAGGTGTAACTCTCTAGGTCTCTCTGATTAGGTGTGTCTGAGTCTCTCCTATTGCTGAACATGACCTGGTGTATTTCAGTGTGTGAATGCCAAGGTGTCTTACAGGAGATATCTGGCTCAGGAGAGGCAGGGTGGTGTCTAAGCTCCAAGGAGGTGGAAAAGGTTCTTGTCAGAGCCCTGTGAAGAGGCGGGGAGGGGGGGGGGGGACCCCCACTATGTGGCTTATGCATGGATAAGTACTCACGACAGAAGTCTGCCCGCCTCCACTCGCCAAGCTGGGCCCCAGCGGCCTGGCAGGCTGCCACGTAGGCGGCCACGGCAGGGCAGAGGCCTCCCGGGTGGCCCTGAGCCTGGCAGGCGTCCAGCAAGCAGGCCTGGAAGTACTGCGCGGGCAGCACGAGGTGGTGGCAGGGCGCCAGCGGGCCGTCAGGGGCAGAGATCACGCCGCAGGCGTCGGGGCCGCCGAAGGGCTCCTGCTGCTCAGGCGTGCACGGCGCAGGGCACGGTCCAGGTACGCACTCCCCGCAGCCTGCGGCGCCTCCCACCTTCCAGCCGCTGGGGTTCCCGTCCACTGCCTTCAGATCGTCGGCGGGGTCCCGGTTGTAGTTCCCGCACAGGCCACAAAGGGCGCCCGCGTACGCCGCCGGCACGCGCAGGCGCACGTTGCTGTCCCCATCGAAAGCCAGCGAAAGCCCGGTGGCTGCGGTCACCACCACGTCGGTGCCGCTCAGGTGAGCTCGCAGGCGCGAGTCCAGCTGGAAGGGCAGCGCCACGAGCTTGCCGTCCACCTGCAGGCGCGGAATAGGGGTGAGGATAGTAAACGGTGTGGACAGAGGTTCAAATCCTGAATCCCCTACCTACTGGGTGGGTGGGAGCACGTGACTTCCCTCCTTTTAATAACAAGAACATCTATAGACACGATGTCACTGGCTCCTCACATTACCCTCTGAAGCAGCTACCTTTCCTTAGACCCATTTTACAGAGGAATAAACTAAACCTCAGAGATGGGGAAGCCACTGCTCCAAGCCATCTGGCTCCAAGGCCTGCACTCTGAACTCCATCAAGTGCCCACTAACCTGTGAAAGGTAATCAGGGGAATGGCAGACCACTAACTCCTAGGCAACTCAGGGCTGGCATGTGCTCCTGTCTGGCCCACAGACCCCTCACCTGCAGCTGCCGGGGCCAGCGGGCACTGAGGGTCAGGTTGTGCTTGTAGATGTGCAGGGTGACGCTGCGGGTATAGCTGACGGCCTGGCTGCCCCGGTGCTCATTGGCCACAGTGACAGTGAAGTTCTCAACTCCCGCCGGTGGTGTATGGCAGGGTGCACTCAGCAGGTACTCGCAGGCACCTTGGAAGTCGAATCGGTGCCCATCCAGGGTGATGTAATGGGGGTCACCCCAAGCTTGACACTCAGCCGTGCTGACAGGATGGCAGCCATGTTGGCCTGAGGGCAGCAGGGCACATACTTCACCTAGCCCGCACCTGGCAGGCTTGCAGACCAGCGAGCCACCCCCAGGACCACAGTGGCACCTCTCGGAGCAGGTGGCACCAGCCCAAAACTCGCTGCCTGCCTCATGGTAGGTGCCATTGGCCCAGCAGCCGCAGCCTCCATCCAGAGGAACGCAGCGGTCAGCGCTCAACACGAAGCCTGAGTCACACTGGCAGCCTTCAGCGCAGGGGCCCTCACATGGGGCTGGGGTCGTAGGGGGCGCAGGGGATGGGCAGCTGGCTGGGCAGGATGGGCCACAGAGCTCATAGTGGCTGTTGCTGGGGCAGGAGATCTCTGCAGGTACATGAAGGAATGGGAGGGAGAGAAAGAAAGAGAGAGAATGGTGTCAGAGGGTGGAATTGGAGCCTAGGATGAGAGGAGACAGAAACAGAGGAACAGGCAGAAACTGGGAGAGACAGAGCAAGGCACACAGAGAGAGAAAAAAAAACAAAGACCCAAACAGAGACATGGAGAGAGAGAGAATGAGAAATAGAGAGAGAGGGACCACCATAGGGACACAGAGATAAGCACTAAGAGACAGAGATAAGCACTAAGAGAGACACAGAGAGAAAGAAACAAACAAAAAGACCCAGCAGGACTGGCGTGAAACCACATCAGCCCCGCCAAGAGAGCATCCCTGCCCCTAAGTCCTGCCTTTGCTCCCTCAACACTCACCACAGCCTGCCTGCGTCCTCCAGTCCTTGATGACAATGCCAGCGGCCTGGCAGGCAGCAGCGTAAGTAGCCAGAGCCTGGCAAAGTACGTCCTGGGCCCCACCACCCAGGCAGACATCCAGAACGCAGCCCTTGAAGAAACTCTCAGGTGCCACATGGGCATGGCAGGCAGCGAAGGGTCCTCCCATGCCAGCAGCCAGGGGTCCACAGAAGCCAGGGCCCCCGTACTCCTCCAGCTTATCCTCAGAGCATGTTGGGCAGGACCCCTGACATTCATCCCAGCACAGTGTGTTCCAGCCTGGGGCTCGCCAGCTGCCGCCCCAGGTGGGTATGGAGGGAGCCAGTGTGCCGTTAGGGAAGGCTTGGTCGTTGCTGGGGTTTTGGTCCATGTTCCCGCAGAGCCCACACACCGCGCCATGATAGCTACTGGGCAGCGTCACCTCCACTTTCCAATTCCAGTCATAGCTGACCTGCAGCCCGAAGTCAGCTGCCAGTACTGCTTTTGATCCTCCATGTGTCACTGAAAGCCGCCCACCAGCCACAGAGACAGGCAACGCTGTCAGCACACCATTCACCTGGTGGAAAGGGGGAGGGGGGTGGGAGGCAAACAGAGGTCACTCGAGGTGGGGAGGCCCAGCTCTGGCCCCTGCCTCCCTCACTTGGCATGCCATGGCTTCGAGCTGCCAAGGCCTTCCTCATAACTGACGGTCATATAGTCATTTGACAAACACGGACATCTGTAGTCCAGGCCCTGGGGAATGCAACCTAACTGCTTCTTTTTCTGAGCCTCTCTCTTAATCTCCATCTCCCTCCCTTCTTTTCCCTATTGACTCGCCCTCCCTCTACATCTAGATCTCTCTCTCTCTCTGGATTTCTTTTTCTCAGACACTGTGTGTGTGTGTGTGTGTGTGTGTGTGTGTGTGTGTATTCACTCTCTGGGTCTCTATCTGGGTCCATCTCTCTGGGTCTTTCCCTCCCTTGCTCCCTCCCTCCCTCATTCCCTGGGCACCGCTCACCTCTGTGTGGCTGGGCATCTCTTCCACTCACTCACCATCACTGAGTGCCTAACCTGCCCCACGCCTCCCTCTCCCCCATGAGCTGTCATTAATCTGCTTCTCCATTACCCTGGGCAGAAAGGGGGGCCCACCTCTCTCTCTAGCTTCCTGAATCTCGCTCCACTTTGGAGGCCCTGGGCCTTTCATTTGTCCCCTCACGTTCATGGTGGCTTCCCCATGAGGTCAGGCCCTCAGCCGAGCACTTAACATAACCACCTCAATGTGGGGCAGGACCTGCTATGATCCCCATTTCTCAGATAAGGAAACTGAGGCTGACCATGTAGTCACTTGCCCAACATCACACCACTCACACAGAGAGCCTGGATTCTAACCCAGGCGTCTAAAAAGGCAAATACTGAAGGCCTATGTTAAAGCCCTTTGCCAAGGGGTGAGCTCGTAATTCCCAACAGAGGGCTGGTCTTTCTGCTGTAATTGTTGTTGCTTTGTTGCCATTTTGTTTCAGGCCTAGGTGAAGAGAGAGAACGCTAAGCTCCTAACTGTGGCCAGCAGGACCCCTCCCACCCTACCAGGGGCACAGGGGACCATCCTGTGGGACTTACCCGGACTTTGCCAACTTCACCTTTGTGGATGGAGATGTTGGTGTTGAGAGTAGTGACAGTGACGAGCCTCACGAAGGACACAGCAGGGCTGCCCCGGTTCTCGTTCTTGGTGGTGATGGTGAAGGGTGTCAGGCCCTGGGTGTTGACCTTTGGGCAGCTGGTTGTTGCCAGCACATAGTTGCAGGTGCCCTGGAAGTCAAAGTTCCAGCCATCGAAGGAATGGTAGTGGGGATCACCCCATAGCCAGCACGTGGCCTCATAGTTGGGCACGCACACTGCCTGGCCATCCTTGTCCTGGCACGTCTCCTGTGGCCGACACGTCACACCTTTGCACGGTTCTGGGGAGAGAGGAGAGAGGACCTTTTCACTCGAATAGCCCAGATTTTTTTCCTCACACAGAGGACCTTGAGGGGCTGCCCAGCACGAGGCCGGCTGCTCCCTAGCACCTGCCCCATCTGTGCAGGGATGCTGGCTCTAAGGGCCTCTGTAGGCAAGACCAGATTCCAGGGTCCTCACATCTGAGATGCACACCCTACAGTTTGCTGTTTCTGAGACCAGACCCTGGGGGACCCCCATGTCTAAAACTCAGGCCCTGTGGTGGACTGTGCCTAAGACCCTGCCAAAAGTCCCCACACCTGAGACCCAGGCCCTGCAGTTTGCTGTCTGAGACTCAGGCCCCAAGGTCCTTGCAGCCAAGACCCAGGCTCTAGGGTCTCTACATCTGAGACCCAGGCCCTGGGTTTCCCTTGCTTGAGATCTCAGCCCCAGGGAACCCAGGACTGAGACCAGAGCCCCAGGGGTTCCTGTGTCTGCGATGCCAGCCCTGAGGGTGTTCACGAATGCATCTGCAGCCCCAGGATATCCGTACTCAACACCTGGACCCAGGTTCCCCCATGTCTGAGCTCCCAGCCTCCTTGGGGACACCACATTTGAGACCCAGGTCCTGGAAGTGTCTGTGCCAAGAGCAGGGTACCAAAGGAACTTTCTGCTGAGTACCTAACCCACCCCAGAGGTCTCAACATTTGAGACCCTAACCATGGTGTCCCTGCATCTTAGTCTCATGGCCTGGGATCCCTCTATGCAAGGCTCTCTCTTCAGGGTTCCTGCATCTGAGGCCCTACCTCCGAGGGTCTCTTTATCCAAGACTCTGTGAATAAGACCACTGTATTTACAATCTCAGGTTTTGAAACCCCTATGCCCAAGACCCCAGCGGTAAAACTTCCTCCTCTCTCCCAGTGCCCCTTTTCAATTTATCACCTTTCAGCTCCACGTTTACAGAGTTAGGCTTTGCCAGTAGAGGGCGCTGGAGGGTCCCAACAGGAGAATGGGCTCCATTTCCTGCTTCCAGCCTGCTCTGCCCTCCTGGCTCCTGCTGCGGTAGGGGGCTAGCTGCACGTGGGACACCCACTCAGGAGGCCCACTGGCCTCAGCTGGCTTCTCAGTGAGTCACTTAGGCACCCCATCAGGTGGCTTCCCAATGAGTTTTGCCAGCACCCACCGGGGTTTTCCCGCTTGCCAGCTCCAGCCTGCAAAATCTCTCTGCCATCCAGTGGGCTACAACCACAGCCTGCAATGAGATCTGCTCTCCTCAGCCTTGGGATGGGAGCCCTCTTCCCAATTCATCCCTTCCTTGGGTGCTCTGCTTTAGCTTTAGGGGCAAGAGGTGCTCCCTATATCTGTGCTTGTGTTTGTTAGTGTTGTTTCTGCTCCCTAGCACTCAATCCTACAAGTAAAGAATTTGATTAAACTTTCCTTGTTCGAGCTGCTGTGTGGTTTCTGTCTCCTGATTGGACTCTAACTGATATACCCCCACCCCTGGGAGTCCCTGTGATCCTGCCCATCAGCCCTGAGGGTCTCAGTGAGTTGTGAAGGTCCCATTTCCTCACCCTCAGGAATAAGGAAATTATTCTCTGCCCTTTGCCTTAAGAAACCAGTCCTGGGGGGCAGCTCTGTATCTTAGAATTAATCTGGGGGTTCCCCATACCTGATAACATATCCCTATAAATCCTGATCCTCCACTCAAGGGGTGTCCTGTATCCAAGACCCCAGTCTGAGACCTCAGGACTCTACTTTCTGTCCCTGTCCCCATGGGTCCCAGTCTCCCCGACCCCTTGGGAGTGGTGTCTGAAGTCCCGAGCCTAATCTCAAATACCAGTGGTCAGCAAACTATGCCACCGCTAGCTGCCTGTTTCTGTAAATAACGTTTTGCTGGAGCTACACCCCCTCACTTACATGGTCTACAGTTGATTTCATGCCACAATGGCAGAAGAGTAGTTGTGACTAAGACCGTATGGCCTGCAAGTTTAAATATTGGGTTGTCGGAAAAGTCATGATGTATTTTTTCTAAGTCAATATTTATCATCTGGCCCTCTAGAGAAAAAGTTTGTCCCTGCCTTATGCTGAGGGTCTCTGACATCTGCTCAGAAAACCCAGCTCTGAGTGCCCCCACAGACTGGATTCCACCATGAGGGTCCCTGCCTTCCAGACAGGCCCTGGAAATCCTAGCCCAGGGGTCCCCAGGTCTGAAACCTCAATCCTTAGTCCTCTGTGCCTCCCACCATAAAGATCCAGGTAACACCACGTTCTGTTGCTGTCCTCTGTTCCCAGCCACACCGGCCTCAGGCCCAGCCCCAGCCCCAGCCCAGCACCTTTGATGCAGCTCAGGACGCCTTCCGAGGGCTGGCACACCTGCCCCGGTTCACAGCTGTGGCTCTGGCATGCCAGGCCTTTCCCGGTGTGGCACACGCACTGCTGCTGGCAGTTGTCAATGAGTACTGTTTGTCCTGGCTGTGGGGACAGAGGGCACAACCATCAGGGTGGGAGCTGACACCAGCGTCTCTGGTGTTCTGGCACAGAGGAGTTCGGGGGGACATGAAAGGGACATCTTTCAGCAGGGGTGGCCCCTGGTCTGTGAAACTAAGGCACAGCATAGCTTTGGGGTCCAATTCATCCATCCAGTCATTCATTCACTCACTCACTTTCATTCATTTACTCACTCATCTGTTTATTCCAAAATACCGACTAAATGTCTGCTGTCTAGGAGAAATGGTGTAACATAGTAAGTAAGAGCAAAGGCTCTGGAGCAGATTCCTGGGGTCTGAAGCCTGCTTCTGCTATTTTCAAATCATGTCACTCTTTATGCCTCAGTTTCCACATCTGTAAGTTGCAAGTAATAATAGCACCTACCAATGAAAGTATAACTGAGTTAGAAATACATATAAAGTACAGATGAAATGAAATGGGATTTCCTTTAAATCATCCAGATTGAAGAGGAAACGGGTAGAGATGAAACGGGACTGGGAACTATTATTTTTGAAGCTGAGTGCCGAGCGCATGGAGATTTATTACACTGTTCTCTTAGCTTTCACACGTTTGAAAATTTTCATAATAAAAAATTTAATTATAGCACTATACTATATTACTATTATTATTACTATTACTATTACTATACTATACATATAGCACTTAAAGCAATACCAGGCACATAGTAAGCACCATCTGCCTGTTTGCTGTTATTACTATTATTAGTTGTATGAGAAGAGCAACAGAGAGGGTCCTGCTCGAGCTCACAGTGCTCGGAGGGAAACAGACTTTAGATAAACACACTCACATCAAAGGAAAAGGAGTAACTCAGAGTGGGAGAGGGAAGCAGAGGGAGTTAGCTGACTGTTGTAACACACAAAATCTAGCCCTGGGATACAAAGCCAAAACTTGACCTGGGGAGCCAGGGGAGGGTTTAAAGTTGCAGAAGCCATGGTCCTATTTACAAAGTTCTTTCCTGCTGCCAGAGGGACAGTGACCAGAGGGAGCAAAAGCAAGGCTGGGAGGGGACAAACTGGACCCCAGTGGGGCTGTGGGGAGGGAAAGAGGGGTGGGTGGGAGAGATTTCGGAGGCCAAGTGGACAGGCTGTGGGGCTGATGGGCAGTGGGAGGGGCTTCAGGATGACGGCCACGACTTTGCCCAGGATGACCGGGTTCCTACCTCATAGTAGACACCGTTGTGGTAGCAGCCACATTCCTGGATGGGCACGCAGGCTTGGCCATCACTGAGGAAGCCAGGGTCGCACTGGCAGCCCTCAGCACACTTATCTGGGCACTGCGGGGCTTCGCTGAGTGCAGAGCAGGTCAGGGAGCAGGTGTCTGCACAGAGCTCATAGTGGCTGTGGGAGGGGCACTTCATCGCTGCAAAGAGCGGGTGTGGGTCAAAGCCTACGCAAAGCAGGATCTGCCCCTCCTGTGCCTCCACCTCCCCGCCCCTCTGCCCCTCACTCACGACAGAAAGATTCGGTCCTCCAGGGTTCAATGTGACCTCCAGCTGCCTGGCAAGCGCTCACATAGGCCTGGATGTTGCTGCAGAGAATGTTCTGGTTCCCGTCACCCACGCAGAGATCGAAGACACAATCTTGCAAGGGGCCCTGGGGATTGAGCAGCTTGTGGCAGGTGGCCAGCGGCCCCGTGGGGCTGGTGAGGAACCCACAGAACTCCTCCTGCTTGTACTTGTCCTGCAGCCCAGGTTCACACTCCAGATTGCAGTCCTCACCCGGCTTGCAGGTGGGCGGTGGCAAGCAGGGAGAGCCAGGCACTGCCGCCTCCCAGGAGTTGCCGAAGTCATTGGGGCTGCCTGCCTGCGAGCCGTCGGGCTTCTGGAAGTCGTCCTTGGGGTCACCATTGTAGTTTCCACACAGGCCACATAACCGCTGGTAGTAGTTGCCTGGGATGGTGACCCGCACATTGTACACAAGGTTGTAGGCCACACGCAGGCCAAAGTCAGTCTCGATCACCATGTTCGAGCCATGCTGGGAGACGCGGACCCGGCCCTGTTGCAGCACCACCGGTGGCTTCATGTCCACACCGTCCACCTGGGAGGCAGGAGATGCCATGTTTTAGAGGGTACACTTTGAGAGGGCAGCTCCTAGGTCAAGCTCCTGCCTGACATTAAAGATCTGCGTGACCTTAGTTTCCATATTTGTAAAATGGGTATAATAATAGGGTCTTAGAAGGAGTTGAATGGTGTTCCCCAAAAGATATGTCCACCCAGAACCTCAGAATATTGACCTTGTTTGGAATAAAGGTCTTTGCAGATGTAATTAGGGTAATGACCTTGAGATGAGGTCATCCTGGATTAAGGTGGACTCTACGTACAATGACAAGTGTCCTTGTAAGAGCCAGAAGAGGAGAAGACACACACACAGAAGAGAAGGCCATGTGAAGAGGAGGCTGGGATTGGAGTGCTGCGGTCACAAGCCCAGAAACACCTGCTACTACCAGAAGCTGGAAGAGCCGAGGAAGCATCCTACCCTACAGCCTTTGGAGGGGGTGCAGCCCTTGCCAACACTTTGATTTTGGACTTCTGGCATTCATAACTGTGAGAAAATAAATTTCTGTTGTTGTAAGCCACCAAGTTGGCGGTAACTTGTTCTGGCAGCCACAGGAAACTAATCCAGATCTCAATGCGGTAACAACCGTAGCAGCTATCCTTTAATCACCACTTACTACAGTGATCAATAATGCAGTGACTGACTCCAGAGCCACCTGCCGGGGTTCAAACACAGCTCTGCCCCTTTCTTTCTCTGTGACCTTGTGCAGGTGAGTCACCTCTCTTGTTCTGTTTCCTCGTCTATTGAGTAGGAATGAGGCACCTACCCCATAGGGCTGTTGTTCAGGATTCGATAAATTAATATTTGCAAAGTGCTGGGAAAGGCGTCTGGCACAGGAGCATTCACTGTTATTATTAACTATGACTGGAAGTTTTTATTTTGAAGAGTAAATGGGTGCTCAGGGCTTTTGCCTAAAGCATCAGTGGGTGGAAAGTCAGGTGAAATGAAAGTTCTGGGGAAATGAACTTCAAGTCCATGAGCCAAGAAGCAGTGGTTTCAGTTTACAGCTGCTGGGCACCAACAAAGCCTTGCAAATCCATCCCTGAGTAACACACGCGCTCGGCCTTCCTTCACACAGACACAGTGAGCATCAGGTTCTTTATGAAGTGTGAAGGATTGGAGGAGGAGGCAGGAGAAAGACATGCTCCTGGCTGAGCCCCCTAAAAACAGAGTCGACCATCCTACTTCCCGAGCAGGGACAAGTAGTGGTTAAGGACAAGTGACTTAACCCCGTGCCTCAGTTTCCTCGTCTGTAATAGTTTACACCTCATCGAGAAGCTGGGGGATTCAGTGAGATGAACTAAGAACGCCAACAACTCACACGTGTTCAGAGCAAACTATGCGTCAGGTGCTATTCTAGAAGCTCAGCTGTGTCAGGGACTATATGAAAATGTCGAGTGCGTGTACAGTGTGTAGTGAGCACCTGAAAAAGTCAGCTTACTCATTAGCATCCTCATCGTCAACACTGCTTCTCATACAGCGGCCATATGCCTGCATTTTAGAGGGATCTTAGGGGAAACCCCTCCAATGTAAGCGAAATGTGGGTTTCCACGTGAGACCAAAGGTTTCTCAGTCAGAAAAGCACCACGGAGCACCCAGGGTCCAGCGTGCTGTCTCCTGGTTCACTGCCTTGGGTTCATGTCCTACCTTTGCTGAGGGACTTTGGGTCAGTGATGGGGCCTCCCCCTCTAAAAAATAAAGCAGATCATGGTACCTCCAGCGACTGCTGCAAGGATAAAATGACACTGTGGATGTGAAGTGTTTAGCAGCCAACAAGGTCTGGGGCCAGCTGTGTAAAAACCGTAGCTGCCGTTATTATTGTTGTTATGGTTGTTAAGGGGTGATGGTGTCACCCACAGATTGCCCCCTGTCCTTAAACCTTTCCCATCCCTGAATTACCCCAACTTCTGATTGCACAATGTTCTGCCACTGGCCATGAGACCAGGGAGGTGGCTGGACAAGGATGGAGGGGAAGATGGAGTGGAAGGGAGGAGGGGTGGGAGAGACGTTCAGAGGCGACAGGCCAGAGGCAGGCAGAGGGGAGACTGAGGAGCACAGACAGAGGGAGACTGAGCCCCATGGGAGCAGGTCCCAGGTCCCCAAAGCCTCTGCCCTCCTTGGCTCCCCACTCTGGGATCTGACTGGCACCCCCTCTTCTGGAGACCCCATGCCTCCCACATCCACTTGGAGCCCTGTGCCCCTTGCCCCTGGGCTGAGTGCGGCCTGTTTCCCACCCACAGATCGCCCTTTACCCCAGGCCCCCTTCCCTTCAGGTTCTGCCCCTGCTCTCACCGTGACTTTCCATTGATTCTGCTCCAGCCGCAGGGTGAAGTTAGCCACCTTGACAGTGACCACTTTGGTCACACTGACTTTCCTGTTTTTCCACTGCACATTCTCCTGCAGGACGGTGAACTGGTCCAGGCCAGGCCGGCTCCCGCAGGTCTGAGCCAGCACATACACACAGGTGCCCATGAAGTCGTAGCGGCGGCCATCAAAGGTGGTGTAATGGGGATCTCCGGATGCCTGGCAGGTGGCAGAGCCCACAGCCACACAGCCCAGGATGCCACTGGACGGCTGGCAGGCCTCATGTGGGCCACAGCTGGAGGGCTTACAGGTCACCAGGCCACCCTCATGGCAGTGGCAAAGGGAATCGCACCCCGGTCCGGGATAGAAGGTTTGGCCTGACGGGTGGTAGGCACCCTGGTATATGCAGCCACAGGAGGTCATGGGCACGCAGGACTCACCGTTGAGCATGAAGCCCTCATCACACACACAGCCCTCGTGGCATTCGGAGCCGCAGCCCCCGGGCACTGGGAGGTCTCCACAGGAGAGCGGGCAGCCGTGGGAACACGCCTCGTAGTGACTGTGGGGCGGGCAGCTCAGAGCTGCAGGGAGAGCGGCCATCAGGATGGAGAATCTCTGCTCCCCCGTGACACAGATGACTCCCTGACACACATGCATGTGCACACATACGCTCACACATAAGCAGTCCAGCTACAAGGATCCCCTCTGTTGAGTGGGGAACAGATTACATCACAGCTAATCTGATCCTGATAATTACGATTCTTTTCCTCTTTAACTATGGTTTGGGTTATCTATAACGTCTTCAGTGACCTTATTCAAGTTGGTAACAAGTTGTGGATATGTGGTGTGTATTTTAAACATTTGGATGCGTGTATAGTGTGTGTGTGTGTGTGTGTGTGTGTGTGTGTGTGTGTGTATTCTATGCAGTGTATTTGTGAATGCAGTATTCTTAGCTTCTTCACTCTATAGTAGTAGTAATTCTACAGTATATTAAAATATGGGGTCATCAGGAAAGTCATGGCGCATTTTTGCATTGAAAAACATAGAAAAATATGTCATGACTTCCTCAACGACCCCATATTTGGCCATGTTGTAAAGAAAAAAAGAAAAAAATTCTTGTTCATCTCTTCAAGCCCCGTTCACTCCAGATTATAAAACAGGCAGTTTCCTAAAAACAAACAAACAAACAAAACAAAACAAAAAACAAACAAACAAACAAAAACCGAAAACTGAACCCAATCAAGCCTCTATCTGTGTAGTCCAATACAATAGTCACTTGTGGCTATTTAAATATAATTTAATTAAAATGAAATAAAATTGAAAGTTTAGTTTCTTGGTCACACTAGCCCCATTTCAAGTGTTCAGTAGCCACATGTGACTAGTGATGACCATATGGGACAGCTCAGATCATTTCCATCATCACTGAAGTTCTATTGGACAGCACTATTCTAGGTCCAATATCCAGTTTACAAGAGAATCTGGTGGGACAGAGAGACAAGTTAAATAACACTATAAAGAAGCAACTAGCTGAAACCAGAAAGTAGGAAATCCTGCAGGACAAATGACCTGTTTTTTCCAATAAATAAGTGGCATGAACAAAAGGGAGGGGTAGATAGAGGAACGGATATGTGATAGAGCAAGTATAATAAAATACGGATTGTAGAATCTAGATGGTGAGTATCTGAGTATTCACTGTAAGTTCTTTCAACTTTTCTGTATATTTGAAGAATTTTATAATAATATGTCTGGGGGTAAGGAGGCTATTAAAGGAAAAATGTGATTTAAGAAAAATCAACCCAATGCAATATGTGTGGATTTGGTCTGGATCCAGATTCAAAAAACTGAAAAAACACATTTTTTTTAGACAATTGGGGAAATTGGAACCCAGGTTGGGGTTTAGGTGATGTTAAGGAATTAGTGCCATTCTAATGGTTTTTAATTCCAAGAGAATTTAACCTAGTGTAACAAAGTTATAGACATGGAAGTCTCTTTTTTGATCACTGCATCATCCATTTTTGCTGGGTAACAAACATCCCCAAAGTTTAGTGAATTAAAACCACAGGTATTTGTTATTTTTCATGAGTCTGTGGGCTGTGCAATTACTCAAATTTAGGATTAAAATGAGAGATGTATGGTTGAAATTCTATTAAGTTCAGAAACTCTAGGAGTCAGAATAGTGGTTACCTCTTGAGGCATAGTGCTAGGAACGGGTGTGAAGGAGTTTCTGAAGGGGTGGGAAGCTTAGTACGTTCTTTTTTCTGATTCTTGGGACAGGTTATGCAGATTTATTCTCTTGCTGAAAATTGATCAATCTGCTTACTTATTATATGTACATATTCTTGAACATGTGTATTGCATTTCAACAATAAATTTAAAAATGTAAAGATCCAAAAGATCCAGTGAGGGGGTACATAGCTTTCAAACCTCTTTTATAGCAAGCAAAGACATTTGAAGACCATCCCTGCACCCATATCTGATGCAAGGGTCTCAAACTGACTGCCCAAGGGGTCAGGCAGATGTTGTAAATGAATGAGGTAGGCCAGATGGCGACCAAGAACTGGAGAGGGAACCAAGCTCCTTCTAAAGGCAATACTACTGCTTGTTTCTGAATGACAACTGCCATATGGGAATCAGACCCTGGGCCACCAGATGTATTTGGGCATCTTACAAATATTTACTGCATCTATGACTTCCTAGCTGTCATGATCCTGAGCATGCAATTGAACCTTTCTGAGCCCCAGTTTCCTCATCTGTTAAATGGGTAAAACCATAGTCCTTATCTCATAGGGTTGTTATAAGAATTAAGTGAATTAGTGATGTTTTTACATTAATGAATATCCACAAAGCTGAACCCCTCAGCTGTCACTATTGATACTCACGGCAAAGTTCCTCACTCCTCCAGGGGTGCACAGTGGCCCCTGCAGCCTGGCATGCATCAGCATAGCTGGCCAATGCATCACACAGTGGCCCGGACTGGCCCGGCAGTAGGCAGCGGTCGTAAACACAGTCGCGCACAGCACCCTGTGGATCCAGCGTGTCGTGGCACTCTCGGAAGGGGCCCTTAGGGTCGGCAAGGATCCCACACTCCTTCTTGCTCTGCAGCTGCTGGGCCACCAGGGAGTCCAGCTTGGGACAGTCACCTGGCTCAGTCGCTCCACAGCCTGGCCTGGTCTCCTCCTGCCAGCTGTTCCCAAAAGCCAGTGCATTGGCAGCTTGGCCTCCACCCCGCAGAGCCAGGTCATCACCTGGGTTCTCATTGAAGTTCCCACAGAGCCCACACAGGGCCCCAGCATAGCTGCCGGGCACCTTGACAGTCACACGGTCATTCCAGTTGTAGGTGACAGTCAGGCCAAAGTCTATGCGCACGACAGCATCTTGGCCCTGGCGGAACACCTGCACCTGCCCATCTGCCGCCTGGAAAGGCAGGTACTGAAGGATGCCATCCACCTGGGTAGAGATACAAGAGGGCCAAGGGGTCAGGGTATTCATGGCTCTGTGGCCTGCCCCTCTTTCCCTCAGCTCCAGTTATTCTTGGCTCCTTGATATTCTCTTGAGCACATTATGCTTGGTCCCACCTCAGGGCCTTTGCGTTTGCTGTTCCCTCTGCCTGGCACACCATCCACTTAAAGTATCGCCTTAAATCCAAATCTCTAACCCATGACCTTCAAAGCCTACAGGATCTGTCTCCCCATTACCTCCCTGACCTCACCTCCCCCAACCTTCCTCCTCACTCATTCTGCTCCAGCCACACTGGCTTTCTTGACAGTCCTCTAATTCCCCCCATTTAGTCTAACTTTAGGGCCTTTTCACTTGGTCAAGAACACCACCTACCACTTTTCTCCTGGTTGCTTCCCCTTCATCCTTCAAGACTTGGCTTAAACCCAAGCCCCTTCCCTAGAAGGTCCTGCTTACCCTTGGCTCTGTCCACCTTTGTGTCTGAATCACCTGCCACATCACTCACCCAACCTCCTTGCTGTCAACCTGAACAGATCAGTACACTGCCACTTCAGGGCCTTTGCACTTGCTGTGCTCTCTTCCTGGCATACCACTCATCACTCTGCACTTGGCCACTTCTACCTCATTTTTTAGGTGTCAGCTTTGATTCAAATCTCTCACAATGGCCTAAAAAGTCCCAGATTGATGTAAGCCCCACTACTCTCCAATTGAATTCTCTAGTATTGCCCTATTTCCAGGTCCAGTTTGTTCCTGCCTCAGAGCCTTTGTACTTGCTGTTCCCTCTGTCTGGAACGCCCTTCCAGCCATTTCTCTCTCTCTGCCTGTTCCATCTCTTTCTTCAGGAGAAGCAACAGAAGGTAGTGGTTGAGAGTATGGACTCTGGAGCCAGATAGCCTGGTTTCAAATCCTGGCTCTGCCACTCATTACCTGTGTGTCCTTGAATAGGTGACTTACCCTCTCTGTGCCTCAGTTTCCTCACCTAACAAGATTAAGAATTTCACAGGATAGTAGAGATCAAATGAGTTACTATATGTCAATCATTTAAGACATAGCAATAACTTACTATATGTTGGTTATTATTATTATTCAAGCCTCCGTTTAAATGTCATCCCAGAGAGGTGAGAACATAAATATTCATAATTATGTTCTCTGTTTGTCTAGAAGCTTCTCTATGCCAAACTAGGCTTTATGAGCAGAATTTCCTTTACTCCAAGGTCATTCTGAGGGTTAAGAGTTAAGGTCTGTTGGGCCGGCCGAGTGGCGCGATGGTTAAGAACTCGCTTGGGATGCCAGAGGGCCCCGGTTCGGATCCC